ATTTTCAATACAAGTTTGCCAACGCTAGTAGTAAACAAAGATGGAATATAATAAATAAATTTTCAGGATTTAAAAATAAAAATGACTTTGAGTTTACCTCAGATGTAGACGCAAATGATATAAATGTAAATTTTTTAAAAATAAATGGGGATATTATTAAACCTAATACGGAAATTCTCAATTTTTATCGTAATAATCTTAAAACAAATTTCGAAAACTTATTTGAATTCAGTGAAGTAGATGAATACAGTATTATGCAAATTATTCTCAAAATTAGAACTCAAGCTTGTGGGAGTGATGGAATTAATATTTCTCTAATTAGATTTCTTTGTCCGTATTTAATCCCCCACATAACATATTTAATCAATTTCTGTCTAAAAAATGTAGTTTTTCCAAATGCCTGGAAAGAAGGTCTAGTTATTCCCATCCCAAAAGTTGCCTCCCCTGAAAATTTAAATGAACTTCGCCCTATAACCATTCTTCCTACTCTTTCCAAAGTTTTGGAAAGAATCGTAGAATACCAACTACGAGATCATATTGATAAATATGACATTCTTCCAACTACACAATCCGGGTTTAGAGCGGGATATAGCTGTGGAACTGCTCTTTTAAACATAACGGATGATTTTTTTAAGGAACTGGATAATGGAAAGTCGGGTGCTTTAATTTTGTTAGACTATAGCAAGGCATTTGATATGATTAACCATGAATTATTCTTAGCAGTGTTACATTTTATTGGTCTCAGCCCGCTCTCCGTAATCTTTTTTAGGAATTATCTCATTGGCAGAACTCAAAGGGTAATATATGGGGGTGTATCGTCAACCATACGGGAAATCGGACGAGGTGTGGCCCAAGGCTCAATTCTTGGGCCCTTATTTTACACTATCTATACAAGCAATTTCTCTTCAGTACTGCAATATTGTAAGGCCCATACGTATGCTGACGATACACAGTTATATAAATTTTTTGAAAAAAAAGATGAATTAAAAGCAATACAGGAAATTAATACTGACCTAAACGCCTTGCTAAGTATTTCTACTGAGCATAATCTAGTAATTAATCCGAATAAATCATCTGTTATGTTGTTTGGTTCAACATTGTTGTATAATACTCCGATAAAAATTGATAATTTATCTTTACAACCGACACAAAAGGCAAAAAACCTGGGTGTTATATTCGATAATAAGTTAAAGTTCACCGATCATGTTTCTTTCATTCTGCAGAAGTCTTATCTAAAATTAAAAACATTATACCAATGCAGACATTTATTTGATATAAAATTAAAAAAATTACTCTGTGATTCTCTTGTTTTAAGTCATGCAAATTACTGTGACTTCGTTTATGGACCATGCCTCTCTGTTTATGATTCTAATCGCCTGCAAAAGTTACAAAATTCGTGCTTACGCCTTATATATGGAATAAGAAAGTTTGATAGAATTTCACATACATTAGAAAAAGCCGAATGGTTAAATATGTCAAATCGTAGAAAATTACATGCATTAACATTATTTCATAAAATTATAATAAAAAGAAGTCCCATTTATCTTTGGAAGAAAATTACATATCGTACAAATATTCACAGTACAAACACTCGTCAAAAAACTGCTATAGATATTCCTAAACATAAAACTCAACTATTTAAGAACTCCTATTCATATCAGATATCAAAAGAATATAATAACATTC